TTACGCCAAGTTTGATAATGTCTCCGTGGAGGGGGCGTTCTGGCGCTTCTGGGCGCTTTTGAGCGCATTTGGGCGCTTTTGAGCGAAGTATGGCCACTGCCTCAAGTTTCTGCCTATAGGTCCCATATCCAAGTGTGTGAGAAAAAGCCCAGCGACAAAGCCAGAACTAGCCTGGAGTTACTTACTAAACTTCAAAATCGCAAAACTTGTAGAACATAGCGTGCGCGCAGTAACAGGCTGCTGAGATAAAAACTGATTTTGTGGACCTGCCTTTTGGGTTCAGTCTGTTATAATAATGCTTTATAATTCAACTTTGCATAAATGATCACAAATCACGCTCTATGTTCTCTAGTGCAGGTTGATCAACTAGCTTTGAATATTCTTCTGGTATCACGAAGGCTGCGCAAAACTTTTTGATGACAGTAACGAATTCCTTGAGACGAGTTATGTAATATAAGTAGCACACTCAAATATTGCCACGACCATACCTTCGATGATGCACTGCCGCCACTCTTCATACTGGTGCCAGATTGGCTAGCCACCTCTTTTGCTTGATTAAGAAGTCGTTCTTGTTCTTCAAGTTCACTTCGGGAAACGAACCATTCTTTCTTTTCGTATTTCTAAATTGCATGCTGGGATATTATCATTAGTTACCCAACTTTACCTTGATGAGAAATGCAGTTATTTCATCTTTGTTTGTCATCTTTGGTGGATTGCCAGAATATAAACCAAGCCATGTATGTGAATTCTCTTCGTTTCCGAGGCTACGAACTCGTTCAATTTCCTCGTTTGTGAAGTTAGCCATGGAAATTGATTTGACCCGATGCGGTGGATTCAGCCCACGTCTAAAACGCGAAAATCGTGAGTCATCTGGCCTCGACTGATCAAACATTATCACTTATATCAATTAACTGACAAAATACCGGAACAGCTGGTACAACAAAATGATCCATGTGTGACGTTTACATAAGTCGGTCCGCGCTGTCCACATTCAAAACAGAAACGGTTTGCTGGCAATGATGCGAGTTCCCTGAAATATGACCTTCCTTGTACAGATGCTACAAGTTATTAACGCTTTAATGAACTATCCAACTCATTTTGAGGTGGACAAACTTGAGAATACATTCACTGGTAAAAAGTGAAATTGATTAGTTGATGAAATTACACAATAAAAGTGTTTCGAAATGCCCGACAGAAGTGCTGAACAGACAGCTGCTATGATTCAGAACCAAAGTCATTTATCCGAGCATTATAAGTGAAAAACCAAATCAAGTATGCACAAAAGTGATAGTAAATGAGACAAGGTGCGTTTTTCTCTTCGCGACTTGAGGAACAAGGTAAAAAAGAGATAGATATAGGAAGTTATTGAGCAAGGAATTAAATTGACATACCGTAAAGCCCGAAGATTCTTTTCATCCTGACGTTTCTTCTGAGCACTAAGTGTAGAACCCGAAGATGCGTGTGGTGCATTCACCATCTAGAATAATTGCTTTGAACGTGAAAGTGTCAATTCCTACAACGATACATCGGAGTGAAAGTTCTGAAACCACAAAAAAAAGCAGGAGATTCAGTGAAAAAG